TCCAAGTTTGAGGAAAATCTGATTCCCAGCTATGGAATGCTTCCATAGTAATTATAGTTCTAAAGTAGTAAAAGGTTGTTATTTGAGATATTAAGTTTTACCCTTAAACTGATGCTAAACAAGTTACCTAGAAGCAAAAGTTAATTTTATGATCTCTCTTTACATAGGTTCAGAAGCTGTATGTAATTTTTCTCCCGCTTTTTAATATGAAAGTCATACAGGCCATGATACGGCTTTGTTACTTCATACAATATCATTGTGCATTATGTTATAAACAAGTATTACTTGTGTAATTATATGTAGGACATCAACACTTTAATATTCTAAAACTGATAATAACATTTAATTGTATTTGTTTGGATCTTCAGAGTACTGAAGTCACCTGACTATATCGAAAATAAATTTAAAACTTCCATATGGCTGTTTAAGGAATTATTTGTTACTGTCTCTTTTTCAGATTTAAAATCTTCCAACTATTGCCCCTAGCGCGCAAGCGCGCCGTAGGTGAACTCACGCCCGGGTAGACAGCTCCCCCTTTCTAGTAACTTCCCTGGTTCGGATCGTCATCAGTGCGCGCCGCGGCTGAGTTGGGTTGTTTCTGTTCGCCGCTTTAGGACTGAGGCCGCGGCGCGGAGGACTCGCCTGGAACTGTGTGGTTGGAGCGAGTCGGGCCCTACCTGCCATGTCGGATAGTGCGGACAGTTCTGCGGAGGCCCACAGCTCTTCTGAGTCCTCCGCTCAGGACTTCGCTGCTGCCGAACCGCGGATCATCAAAATCACGGTGAAGACTCCCAAGGAGAAGGAAGAGTTCGCTGTGTCCGAGACCAGCAGCATCCAACAGGTGAGGGGGTGGGGGCGGTGGGTGGGGAATGCGGCCAGGGGCAAGAGCCTTGGCCTGTGGTTTCCACCTCCCATGCTGGAGGGTGAAGGCCCTTCGCGATGACAAAGCAGCTTCTGCTTATCTGAGCTGTTGTCAGTGCTGTTGGGCGAGTATCGGGGCTGGCCCGGCCTTGTGGAGGGCCGCTGCTAACAGGCTATTGGGAGTGGTGAAGAAACCTTCTGCGTCGTCTCCTCCGCGGCTCCTCCCTTTTGTGATTCTGAGAGCCGGCCTGGGAGGTGGACGTAGCTCGTTTCATAATTCTGAGTTGCCCTGCTGAAATGACTCGGTCTGGCAATAGGAGGCTCGCTGGCTAACTAGTACAACTGTAGAAAACATGTAGTCACCTATGTGGCGGTGCTATAGTGTTAACTATCTTGATCTAATATTTGCTTTAGAAACAGCAAGTAGGCTATGGCAATGATATCCTAATTTTAGAAAAGCCACGTCTTTAGACTGTACGAAACTTCCACTACAAATAAAGCACAGCTTCTGCCGTGCTTCAATGTAGTAGTGTCTGATTACTCTGAATTGTTAGGGTCTTTGCTTTGAGTTTCTAGGAAAGTTAGTATCTCATTGTACCTTTGTTTCGAGAGAAACAGTGGCACCTACTGAGGCCTTCCATGGGAGTATTTACCAGGATTTAATTAGTTTAGGCTGGGAGGCTACAAATCATAGGAAAGGTGTGGTCAAGCCACTCTCTCCTACTTGTGAAGGATGTAGATATTGCTATGCTAAAATACTTGAAAAGGTGAAGGTCCCTGAAGGATATTCAGAGCTTACTTCATTTTCTATAAAATTTCTCAGTGAGTGTGTACAGCTTGACATCATGTTATTTTTTTGTGCAGTTGATAACTGCGAACCTCACAAAGATGATTACATATCTAAGAGTGAAATTGAAATGTATTGAAATGGAGCTTTACATTGTTAATTGCTGATGAGTCAGAAGAATTTGTTTTCAGGAGGGGAATACAAAACGTGAGTTAAAAAGCTCTGAGTGATCTTCTAGCCAGGGTGTGCCACCTAATTTTAAAATTCTTTGTAGTTGCATTTTGGTTTTTTATATAATATGCTAGTTCTAATGTAAAGATCACATTTGACCTGAAAAGCAGTTTGATTGCAATAATATTGGGGACTTCAGGAATTGTAACTAAATTAATTTAAGATGTAAATTCATAATATATCTAACAGCATGATTTCAAATGTGAATCGCAATATGAATATCAGGTTTTTCTAATAGATGGTTGTCTTAAAAACTGAAATAGTTATGCAAGCTAACAAAACCATATTTTTTTACTGAAAAAACTAATAAAAAATTAAGTGATTAATAGAACATATTACTTTTAAAATATCTTCACTGTTTGTAGATATCTTAAACTTTAAATATTGTCTTGGTGTCCCTTTGAGCTGATATTAACAGATTAGATATGCAGTTGAATTTTCCTCTGAAGTAAGACTGCTACTGCCCCTGTAGGTCCACCATTTGCTTTTATTTCTGCACAAAGTTACAGCTAGTACAAAAAATATGCAAGACTGTAGTGTGACTAGTATTTGCTGTATTTCTTAAACAGTCAAAATAAGCTGTTGCTAATAAAAAGCATTATGTTGCATAATAACAATATATTGGCATAATAACAATAGATGTGAGGTTTCTAGAGCCAGCCCTGAAAATAGATTAGCCTCAGATAAACAAATTGAGCATCTGTTCAAATGCATATGGGATCAACAGGTGGATTGTTCTGTTGGTATAGGCAAGCTGACAATGTCTGCCCTATTGGAGGGGAGGAAAGGTCTAAATTCATACAACCTAATAGCTTTTAGTTTGCTGTGTGTTCCTGTAGCTAATAATATCACTTAGTGACTTGGTTTTGTTTACAGTCACTTCAGAATACAGCAAAACAAAACAAACAACCCTAAATCTTTTAGATAAATATTTTGGGTTATCTGGCCTAAATTTAGGGCTACACAAAGTGTATTTTATGTTGCTCCACTGATGTAAGTCAGGTTTGCAACAGTTCAAATTTGAGGAAGATTTTCCTATGTTAGAAGACTTCAGTAACAAAGGGTTTGTTATTGCTGATCCTATGTTGGGTCTCTAAGAACAGGCAGTTATGTAGGTTAGAATGGAAAATAACCCTCAAGTACCAAACTGCTCTGGGAGGTCAGTTTATTGTAAGTGCCTCCCATCAGTTTTTATTTTCCATGGAACTTATTAGATTATGTTGAGCACAGCTTGGTTCAGTATTAGGACAAGGACCAAATATTTGCTTTCTTGACTTGGTATGATACTGAACTTGCAGGCCCATACACTGCTCTGTACAAAGACTTCTATTCATGGTAAGTAAAGATGAATACCTATAAGTCTGCTAGTTTGAAGTCCCAATATGCAGGAGACTAGCTCAGGATAATGAGAAGTAAAATAAAACAATGCCTTTCCCCACCGTGCCTCCCTCTTTCCCAAGTTCTCTCTTCTCGCCCCCAGTGGTGTAGGGGGATGGGGAATGGGGGTTATGGTCAGTTGTTGTTTCCTGTGGGATCTCTCCCATGTGAGACAGTCCTTCACAATCCTCTCTGGCATGAGTCCATACCACAGGCAACAGTTCTTCACAAAACTGCTGTCCCATGGGTCAGTTCGCCATGGGGTGCAGTCCTTCATGAATGAGCTGCTCCAGCATGGGTCCCCCATAGGGCCTCAAGTCCTACCCAGGAAAAACCTGCTCCAGTGTGGGCTCCTCTCCACAGGCTGCAGGTCCCTTGTAGGACCCTGCTCTGTCATGGGCTTCCCACAGGGTCACAGCCTCCTTCAGAGGCTCCAGCATAGGCTCCTCCGTGGGCTGCAGGTGGGTCTCTGTACCCTGATGATACTCCATGGGCTGCAGGGTGACAGCCTGCTTCACCATGGTCTTAACCATGGGCTACAGGGGCCTCAGCTCCAGCATCTGGAGAACCTCCTCCCCCTCCTTCTGCACTGACCTTGGTGTCTACTTTGTTGTTCCCATGTTCTTACTCCGCTCTTCCCTGGCTGCAATTTTCATCTGTGCAATAACTTTCTGTTCTTAAATATGTTATCATGGAGGCGTTACTATCATTCCTAATTGGCTTAGCCTTGGACAGCAGCAGGAAGCCCGTCCTGGAGCTGGCTGGCATTGGCTCCACCAGACAGGAGAAGCTTCTAGCATCTTCTAACAGAAGCCACCCCTGTAGCCTCCCCATTACCAAAACCCAGCCACAGAAACCCACTACACCAGGACAGGGTTAATTTTTGCAGTAGCCATAAGGGGGCATGGCGAGAACCCAGAGGTTATTCTATATCCCCTCTCATCATTGCTGGTGGTGGAGGGAAGGGAACCTTCCAGGGAGAAGGGGTCTCTTCCAATCAGGATAGTGTGGCTGCGGTCGGGCTGGGCCAGGCTCTGCAGTGAGCATTTTGCATGTGACTCACTCTCTCTTTTTTGTACACTTTGTTTTTAATATTGTTGCTGTTACTATTTTTTTTTTAAATCTCGTTACCATTTCCAGTAAATTGTTCTTATCTCAACCTGTGATCTTATATAATTATTTAATAATAAGTCATTGCAAGATAAATGTTTGGAGTTCCTGTATGAGAGTTCACTAGGATGTTTCGAATACGATTCTTTTAAAACTCAAGTTGACTGTACTACTTGAAAAATGTTAAATATTGTTAACTTCTGGATGATTTTCCAAATGCCTAAGATCTGTTCAGAAACATGTAGTCTACTGACTAGTCACGTTGAACAAATTTATTTGATTTTCTTATATTTGCCTTTCTATATTTTTTTTTTTTCTGTGAGAGTACTTTCATGTAGAATAATGAATCTGAGTAAGAAGTCAGTCAAAGCATAACATGGTTGTTATTGGTTAAGAAGGCAGGAGGAAATAATTGCTTTTCTGGGTTTGGTTGTTTTAATCAAGGTATGATTTCACGATCAGCTGAACTATGTGTCTGTTCACTATGCCCTGGGCTGGAAGCACATTTTATGTAGCTGTCATGAGTTGGATGAGAGAGCAGAGTGACCCAAGAAATAATTTTTGACTGCGTGTAAAGGATTGCTAGTTTTGACACGTGAAAGGTAGCAATAATATGTCCAAGAAGAAAGGATACTGCTCCTTTCAGTATCTGTACAAATTTGAACTGAATTAACATAATGTTTTGTTGCATTCCCAGCATGTCAGCAATGGATTGTTTCAATAGCATGTTTCTAGGTTGTATAAAGCAAAACATATTGTGGAAGTGGATTAATATAATAAATGTGAGCAAAATAGTTCTTCCTCAAATTATTTAAAAAATAATAGTTCAGTATTCAATTACATAACTATATTATATTAACTTTTGTTTAGTTCAAGGAAGAAATCTCTAAGCATTTCAAGTCCCACACTGATCAACTTGTTTTGATATTTGCTGGAAAAATTTTAAAAGATCAAGATACTTTGATTCAACATGGGATTCATGATGGACTCACTGTTCACCTGGTCATCAAAATGCAAAACAGGTAACCTGACTGATGATGAACAATCTTATTTTTACCTCAAAGTAGTAAAAAAAATTTCTAATGTGATAGCTTTCTGGTGGGCAAACCTAGGTTTGACTAAAATGTTTTCAAAAACAGTGCAAATACTCCTGCTATTAAACAAGAGAAGCAACCCCAAAATGTGTACGGTTGTGTCCCTAGATATCATGCATACACTTTTTGAAAGTTAATGTTGTCTTCTAAACTGAGCCATTACTATTAAGTCACTTGAATTGGCTTCTTAGTTGTAGTTGGTGCAGAATAGCGGTCTGAATACAATCTGAACAGTCCCTGTTTCACTGTGTGGTAGCATCCATGCTTATGCCCCTACAGTAGACAGGTGTGGTGAGCATACAAATTGGCAAGCAGCCTCTAGTGCTTGTGCTAATTTATGATGGCATTAACTTTGTGTACTGCTCTTACAGTATTAAAGAATATTGAATTTCTGATATTATTCTAGTGATAAAATAAGGCTTTAACTAAATTTGATGTTCAGTGGGGTGACCTACTAACGGTATGGTATGGAATAGATCCTGTATTATAGATCTTGGTAGCCTTCTCTCCTTTAAGGATAGTATAAAAAGATGTTAACAGTTGCAGTGATGCTCATCCATTTTCTTAGTGTTAGAAATTACTGTTCTGAAGAAGTGATGAGATTATAGATATCTGAGAATCACAGCATGATAGAGGTTGAAAGGGACTCTCAAGGTCATCTGGTCCAACACCCCTGCTCAAGCAGGGCCATCTAGAGCCATTTGCCCTAGAACATGTCCAGGTGGCTTTTGAACATCTCCAAGGAGGGGGACTCCTCAAGCTCCCTGGGCAACCTATTCCAGTGCTCAGTCACCCTCACAATAGAAAAAAAGTCTTTCCTTCTGATCAGAAAAGAACCTCCTATGTTTCAATTTGTGCCAGTTGCCTCTGGTCCTGTCACTGGGCACCACTGACAAGAGCCTGGCTCCATCTCTTTGCACCCTCCCTTCAGGTATTTATATACATTGATGAGATCTCCCCTGAGCCTTCTCTTCTCCAGTCTAAACAGTCCCAGCTCTCTCAGCCTTTCCTCATAGAAGAGATGTTCCAGTCCTTTCATTATCTTTGTGGCTCCTTGTTGGACTCCCTTTAGTATGTCCATGTCTTGCTTGTACTAGGTAGCCAAGAACTAGTCACAGGACTCCAGGTGTGGCCTCATCAGTGCTGAGTAGAGGGGAAGGATGACCTCCCTCTACCTGCTGACAACACTCCTAATGCATCCCAGGATACCATTTGCCTTCTTTGCAACTGTGGCAGGTTGACCTTGGCTGGACGCCAGGTGCCCACCCAGCCGCTCTATCACTCCCCTTCCCTGCCATAAAGGGGAGAGAGAATAAGATGGAAAACAATTTGTGGGTTGGGATAAGGCAGTTTATTAAAGCAAAAGTTTGCACACACAAAAGCAAAGTGAAAAATAATAGGATTAATATTCTACTTCCCATCAGCAGCGATATCTGGCCACTTCCCAAGAAGAAGGGCTTCAGCTCATGTAATGTTTTTTTAGCAGGCAGCCGTTGGAAACAATGAATGCCCCCCTTCCTGCTCCTTTCCTTAGCTTTTATATCTGAGCTGATATCATATGGTATGGAATATCCATTTAGTTAGTTTGGATCAGCTGGCCTGGTTGTGTCCCCTCCCAGAATCTTGCCCTTGATTGGGGAAGAAATGTTACACTACTGGTGCTGTGCTCAGCAGTAGCCAAAACACTGGTGTGTTATCAACACCCTTCTAGCTATCAATGTAAAGCACAGCACTGTGAGGGCTGCTATGGGGAAATGAACTCCAGCTCAGCCAGACCCAACACAATCTCCACCCCTTATTCCATACCATTTGCGCCTTACTCAGATCCCACATAATATATATATATATATATATCTTCTGACTATCTCCCATAGTTTCACAGATATTATTTTTTCCATTTTATGGCCTTCTTCCACCCCTCCAGACCTTGGGCTCCATTTCATCAGGATGGGTACTCAGGACAGGAGAAGCAACATAATTGGTCATCGGGCACTGACACCAGCCTGGCTCAGGTCATTGTCACACTCTTCTTCCTCCTCGCAAAATTTGTTCTTCACTGTCCTGCTACTTTACTTCCTGCAACATACGACTTAAACCACAGATTATTTTTCCCACAAGGTTAAATCTCCTTGAAGCACACACCAGGTCTCCCCATCCTCCCACATTACCCATCAGGTATACCCTGGTCCCTGAGCAAAGACAATCCCACAAATGGGTTTGCCTTTTCTCATGGGAGGGGAAACCCACACCGACTTCCCCAACCACTTCCCCACATGTAGTACAGGGACCTTATCTCCTCCCACAGTATGTAGGAGTTTTGTTTGGGCAGGACCAGGGTGGTTGGCAGATCCCCTAGTGTTGACCAGCCAAGTGGCTTCAGCTAAATTTGCCTGCCAATGCTTCCATGATTACCTAACGCTCCTAACATAGTCTTCAACAGTCCACTATATCTCTCAATCTTCCCAGAGGCTTATGGGTGATAAGGGATGTGATAGATCCACTTGATGCTGTGTTTCTTTGCCCAAGAGCTTATAAGATTATTCTGAAAGTGAGTCCCATTATCTGATTCAATTCTCTCTGGGGTCCCATGTCACCACAGAATGTGCCTCTTGAGGTCTAAGATGGTGTTTCAAGCAGTGGCCTGGTTTACAGGATATGTTTCCAGCCAGCCAGTTGTTGCCTCCACTATGGTGAGTCTGTAGCTTTTGCCCTGGCGTGTTCATGGCTGTGGTCCAATGTAGTCAATTTGCCAGGCCTCCTCATATTGGAAACCCAGACACTGCCCTCTGTTTCAGGGAGATTTTACTCTCATGACCCACTTGATTGCCACCAGTGTTTCACATTCCTGAATAACCTGTGTGATGGCCTCCATGGTCAGGTTCACCCCTCAATCATGAGCCCATCTGTATGTCGCATCTCTTCCTAGATGTCCAGATGTTTCATGGGCCCATAGGGCTATAAATAGCTTGCCCTTCTGCTCCCAGTCTAAGTCTACCTGAGCTATTCCAGTCTTGGCAGCCTTATCCACCTGCTCATTGTTCTGATGTTCTTCAGTGGCACAACTTTTGGGCATGTGAGCATCAATGTGACACACCTTCAGCGTCATATTTTCCACCTGTGCAGCAATGTCCTGCCACAATGCAGCAGCCCATCTGGGTTTACCCCTGCATTACCAATTGGTCTTCTTCCATTGCTGTAGCCACACTCATAGGACATTAGCCACCATCCAGGAGTCAGTGTAGAGAAACAGTACAGGCCACCTTTCTCATTCAGCAATCTTTAGGGCTAGTTGGATGGCTTTCACTTCTGCAAATTGGCTTGACTCACCCTCTTCTTCAGCAGCCTCAACAACCCATTGTGTAGGACTCCACACAGCAGCTTTCCACCTCGTATAGTTTCCTACCACACGGCAAGATCCATCAATAAACAGAGCGTAGTTTCTTTCATTTTCTGGTAACTCGTTATTTGATGGTTCTTCTTGGGCATGAGTCACCTCTTCAGGCCATGCGCTAAAATCTCTGCCTTCTGGCCAGTCCATAATCTCTTCCAGGATTCCTGGGGAAATGGGGTTTTCCCATTCGGTCTCATTGTGTAATCAAAGCTACCTACTTACTCCATGTAGCACTGGTTTCATGATGTGTCAAGGGGATGTTCCCTTTGAACATCCAGTGTAGCACAGGCAATCATGGTGCCAAGAGGAGACAAGCTTCTGTCTTAGTGACTTCTGAGGCGGCTCGAACCCCCTCATAGGCTGCTAATGTCTCCTTTTCAGTTGACATGTAGTGGGCTTCTGATCCTCGATAACCCCGGCTCTCAAACCCTAATGGTCAACCTTGGGTTTCACCTGATGTTCTCTGCCAGAGGTGGAGACATAGTCGCTATTTTGTTCACCACATCCATAGGCACATGACGGCATCCATCCTGCCATTTTATTCCCAAGAACTGGATCTCCCATGCAGCTCCCTTTACCTTACTTTGTTTTATGGCAAAACCAGTTTTCAGAAGAATTTGGATTATTTTCCTCCCTTTCTCAAAAACTTCTTCTGCTGTCTTGCCCCACACAATGATATCATCAATATATTGCAGGTGTTCCAGAACTTCCCCCTGTTCCAGTGCAGTCTGGATCAGTCCATGGCAGATGGTCGGGCTATGTTTCCACCCCAGGGCAGTTGATTCCAGGTATACTGGACATCCCTCCAAGTGAAGACAAACTGTGGTCTGCACTCTGTTGCCGGAGGGATGGAGAAAAATGCATTAGCAATGCCAATTGCGGCACCTCTCGGCTGCTTTTGACTCTAGATCAAATTGAAGTTCCAGCATGTCCTGCACAGAAGCACTCAGAGGTGGCATGACTTCTTTCAGGCCACAGTAGTCCACTGTCAGCCTTCATTCCCCATTAGACTTTTGCACTGGCCATATGGGACTGTTAATGGGTGATCAGGTCCTGCTGATCACTCCTTGCCTCTTCAGTCAACGAATTAGCACATGGATGGGAGTTATGGAGTCTCGGTGCGATATTGCCATCAGTGCACTGTTCTGGTAGCAATTTCCACTTGTTGGTCTTCGACTTGCAGCAATCCCATGATGGAAGGATCTTATGAGAGGCCAGGCAGGATAGATAATTGTTTGATCTTCTCTGTAGCCACAGTAGCTACACCAAAAGCCCATTGATACCCCTTTGGATCTTTGAAGTCTCCCCTCCTGAGGTAGTCAATGCCAAGGATACAAGGGGCCTCTGGGCCAGTCACAATGGGGTGCTTTTCCCACTTGGCCCCTGTTAAACTTCAACCACTACTAAAGACAACTCCTGGCATTCCCCTGTCACTCCAGAGATCCAGATGGGTTCTGCACTTCTGTGCCTTTATGGCATCAGTGTGCACTGTGCTCCAGTATCCACCAAAGTTCTATACCTCTGTGGATCCTATGTGCCAGGCCATTGAATCCACACAGTCCAGTATGTCCAGTCATCCCTTTCTTTCTCTTGGCCAAAGGCAAGGAACCTCTATTCCTGTTCCTGGTCAGAGTATTCACTGTCTGACCTTTGTGATGCCAGATCAGAAGTCCCCCCACCAGGATCAAAGGAGTTGATTTCAGTCCCTTTATGTCTGGGAGGTCGCTGATTGCTTTCCTGGGTTTCTGCAGCAACTACATGGACAGCTTTCTTGGGTGACCCCTTCTTAAAAGTTCTCTTCCCTCTTAATTCATGTACCTGGGCTTCCAGCTTAAAGGTGAGTTCACCATCCCACTTCTTCATATCTTCCCTCTGGTCACGCAGAAAGAACCAGAGTTCACTACGTGGCCTGCTCTTGGGGGTTCCTTTCCCCCTGACTGGGACAGGAGAGGACCAGTCTCTTGGGTTGTCCCTGAGAGCTGAGGTGCTGGCCCGTGGGAATGAGGAAGTTCACAGAGTTTCTTCTAAGTTTTGGAGCCAGGAGGATGTCACCTCTACAGTTGGTGCATCCATCTTCGGGTAATATAATGCTACCAGGCTATTGGAATATGATGCAGAGGTGCTTTGAACCACATTCCTTCACATGGCCATCATGCAAGGAACATCCTCTGGATCTTTAGGGGTGTTATCACTTCTCAGGTTACTATAGATGATTTCCAGCACTGCTAATTCTCTCAAGTACTGGATAACTTCATCTGCCATGGTACACTTTCCTGGGGAGTTCATTAGATCTTCCTTGAATGGATACCTTGCCCTCATGCCTGAGAGGAGCTGTCTCCAAAGACTGCAAATTGTTCTTTCTTTTCCAATTCCTCTTTCAATTTCCCGATCTCTAGCAAGGGATCCCAGCTATTGGGCTTCATGCCCTTCTAGTTACTGACTATCAGCCCTGTTATCCCAGCATTGAAGCAGCCAGGTAGTAATCCACTCACCTGCCTGGCAGCTGTAATCTTTCCACATGTCTTGAAGTTCTGATGAGGTCAAGGACTTGCTGACTTCAGTTTCCTGTTAGATTTGTCTCACTCCTTTTGATTTCTTTGTTGATGGACCAGCTTCTTGATCTGCTCCCTCCCCTCCTTCTTCTCCTTCTTCTCCTTCTTCTCCTCCTTCTTCTCCTTCTTCTCCTTCTTCTCCTTCTTTTCCTTCTTCTTCCTCCCTTATAATCAATATGGACCTGTAGCTTGCCTTATCCATTTTTTTCTTTTCACTACTGGGGCAAATACTATATTTGTTGTGGTTTGAGTCCCTATCTCAGCCATAGTGTCCTCCAGAGCAGTTTGGGTCCTTGCCTCCACTACAATCCTCTGAGAGTACTGAACTGTGGCTCCGTAGGCACAGGCCAAGCCCCAGTACAGGGCAAGAAGTTGCTGATTTTGATCAGGGCACAGTGCTGGGTCATGTTCACCCTTGTGTCCACCAAGACCTAGGGCCTTTTCTACCAACCTGCTTTCCAGCTGGGTGGTCCTCATCCTATGTTGGTGCCTAGGGATTGTTCCTTTCCAGGTACAGGACTTTGCATCACTTCCCCTTGTTGAATTTCATGAGGTTCCTGTCAACCCATTTCTGCAGCCTATCAAGTTCTCTCTGGATGGCAGCATGACCTTATGGCATATCAGCTACTTCTCCCAGTTCTGAATTGTCTACAAGCTTGTAGAGGGTATACTCTGCCCCATCATCCAGACCATTAATGAAGATGTTAAACAGAACCACTAGGGTCCACTGTTAGTCACTGGCCAGTTTTCCATTCTTTTCATCCTGCCCCTATTTCTTCAGTTTCTCTATGAGGATGCTATGGAAGACACTGTTGAAAGTCTTCATGAAGTCCAGGTAGAAGTCCACGGTTTTCCCCTCATCTACAGGGCCAGTCACTTCATCACAGAAGGTTATCAAGTTGGTCAAGCATGACTTCCATTTGGTGAATCCATGCTGACTATTCCTGATGGCTTTCTTGGCCTTCATTTGTCTGGAAATGGTTTCCAGAATTAGCTGCTCCATCACCTTCCTGGGCATCGAGGTGTCCCAGTTTAAATGGGACAAGGGTCTTTTGCTGAGGATGGGTTAGGAGAAAAGACCCAAACTTTTTTTTCTAAGCAATTATAAATCCGAAATTAAGAGGCTCTGATTGAAGGAAAACAAATTATGGAAAAGGGAAAACAAAAAAAAAATAACAGCCCTTTATTAAAAGGTATGTGTGTATTAACAGGAACACGAAAAAAACCAAGCAAAACAACCAAGCAATACTCCTATACCCACCAATAATCCCCTTCAAGAACAAAACCGATAAACCGACAAAAGGAAAATTTAAATAGTTCAATTTTCAGCACCCTTTAGTGCAGTTCCAGCCACAGTCAGCAGGGGGTGCCGTCGGGTCACTGGAGATGCAAAATTTGTAATGTCCTATACCATTCACCAGGTGGCACTGTTGGGTTACTGAAGGTGCAGAACTTGTAGTGTCCAGTGCCTGTCACCAGGCGGCGCTGTAAGATCCTTGGCTGCCGCGGGGGGGGGGGGGGGGGGGGGGGGGGGGGGGGGAAGAAGGGGAAGGAAAACCAACAGCAATAAAACAGAAAGTTCTCCCAATGGAAGAAAACTCACAAACTTCAGCTGATTAGGGTCCATTGTAAGCAGGGCCTGCAGCCAGTAACAGCTGAGCCGAGAGCAGCAGCAAAAACTCCCCTCTGACAGGAAAGAGGCAAAGAAACCCCCGTCAGTGTCTGCAGCCCACAGCCGCTCCCCTCCGGGTCGAGAGACTGAGCTGACACCCCGCCCCACCTCCTTCCAGCCACACACCAGCCCCCCCCCCTTTGTTGTCAAGGAGACTGATCTCTTGGCCATTACTAAACCCTGCCGATTCTTTTGTTTCACCTGATGGCCCATCACACAGAGCACACACACAGGAAGGAAGGGAAAGAAAAATTCCTTGCTGAAATCAGAACTATGACACGAGGTGAGGCTGGCTGACCAGTAGTTTTCTGGGTCCTCCTCCTTGCCCTTCTTCAAGATAGGAGTGGTATTTGCTTTTGTCCAGTCTTCGGACACTACTCCCAGTAACCATGATCGATCAAAGATTATCAAGAGTGGCCTCACAATGACATCTGCCGGCTCTTTTGGCCCTCATGGGTGAATTCCATCAGGGCCCATGGACTTATGCATGTCCAGTTTGCTTAAGTATTCTCTGATCTGATCCTCTTCCACCAAAGGTACATTTTCCTTGCTCAAACCTTTTTCCCTGGTCTCAAGGGCCTGGTTTTCCTGAAAGCTAGTCTTGCTAGTAAAGACTGAGGCAAATGCAGCATTCAGTACCTCAGCCTGTTTTGTGTCCTGGTGTCCTGTGTAACCAGGTCCCATGTCTCATTAAGCAGCGGTTGCATGTTTTCCCTAGTCTTCTTTTTGTTACCTATGTATTTATAGAAGCCCTTCTTGTTGTCTTTGACATCCCTTGCCAAATTCAATCCCATTTGGGCTTTGTCTTTCATAACTCGATATAAGAAAGAGAGACTCAGACAATATCTTTGTATTCCTCTCAGGTTGCCCATCCTTGCTTCCACCTCTGTATACTTTCTGTTTGAGTTTGGCCAGGAAGACATCTAGAGTTTGTGGAGGTTTTAGAAATAATAAAAAATGTAAATTAGGATTCTCAAGTATGATACTATTCCTGTATTAAATGTCATTATTATATTAAATGCCAGACCTTGTGTACTGGATCTGGTTCAGATGGAGTTTTACTTTCTTCATAGCAGCCTGTATAGTGAGGTGTTTTGGATTCTTGACCTAACAGTATTGATAACACACTGATGTTTTAACTATTGCTGAACAGTACTTGTACAGCATCAACGGCCAGTGAGTAGGCTAGTGTTGGGAAGGGGACACAGCTAGGACAGTTGAACCAAGCTGACCAAAGATATTGCATACCAGTTAATGTCATGCTTAGCAATAAAACTGAGGGGAAACTTTTCCAAAGTAGTTGTTACTCAGAGACTGGCTGGACAATGGTCTGCTGGTGGGAGGTGGTGAGTTATTGTCTTTGCATCACTTTTCTCATTCTATTGGTCGGTTTTTTTTTTTTTTTTATTTGCTTATTAGACTGTTTTTATCTCAACCCATGAGTTTTTCTCACTTTTGCCATTCTGATTCTCTCGCCCATCCTGCCTGGGGTGAGGGGAAAATTAATTTGTAACTGGGTGGGGATTTAACTAGCTGGGGTCAACTTACTGCACCTTGTTAAAATTGTAATTTTTATAAACTTCTTTTTATAGATCACAAGACCATCCAGATCAACAAACACACACCACTGGCAGTATTGCTACCACATCAATATCGAGCAGTAATACCTCAACACCAACTTCAACAAATATTAGTTCTTTTGCCTTGGGTAAGAATATTTGTTAGATAACATGGTGGCTATCTTAGGTATCTTGGTTTAAGTATCCCTGGAGCTTTATTCTAATGTAAACTGGACTTAAAAAATTATAAGATTACTGATTGCAAAAATCTATGATGTTGGTTGGAATAAGTTTTTGATCAGTAAGTTATCAGAGGTAAATTGTTTCCTTAATTTTTATGTACAGAACTTTGGGCTTGTGCTGTTTCATCTTCAGTAATAAGGTGCCACTAATCTTGTATTCTGGCACTATAGGTAATTAAACTCCTTCCAGTCTCCTTCCCCTCCTTAACAGTGCATTTGAATTGGCCTGAAGAGAGTACTGAAGTTAGACCCATAATATCATGACTTGGAGCAGAAGTAACAAAGTTACTCCTATGTTACAAATCAGTATTGTTCAGGTTCTGATTGAATTATTGGTCTTCTTTTTCAGGAATAGAGACAGAAGTCTATTAATTTAAAAATATATTTTTTCAGAGTTGCGACATTTTGTTCTTCATGCTCTTTGTTTGCTTTCTTTTTAAAAACAAAAAAATGAGACAACAGAAAACTGCGTTAAGTAATTGCTTTTCTTAGTTGTAAACAGTCCTCCAGACTGTCTAGTACCTTCTAAAAATGTGAAACTTTTGTTTGCTAAACTCTGCAAAGGAGAATTTAAAGGATTATTAGTTCTTGTTGCATCAGCAAAAAGAAGAGTTCTACTTTTTGTTTAGAATAGTATGCATCATGTTAAGAGATTCCTCATGGTGGTGGTCTCTATAAATGATTATTACAAAGGTATTGGAAAGTGTTGGGAATTAACCTGAGGCCTTAAAACTCAAACATCCCTTGTACCTCAGCTACAGAAAAGTAGAAGAAAAGCTGTTAAAATTCTAACAAGTTATATTTCAGATGCAGTTTGGATTTCTAGATGTCTTATTGCATACAGAAGCAAACTCCTAGTGAAAGACTCCTTAACAGCCTTGCAAAGATAGAATTTCCATTGAATTTCACTATTTTGAAGCGTGGGTTATGTTTATGTATTTCGTACTTAAAAAGAACCTGGATGTCTTTAGAAATATATTAGAAGATGAAAGTTTAATTTTTTTCCTTTCACCTTAAAGGTGACCTTGGAGGTTTGACAGGCCTGAGTAGCCTGGGTTTAAATGCATCAAACTTTTCAGAGTTGCAAAGTCAGATGCAACGACAACTTATGTCCAACCCAGAAATGATGGTTCAGATAATGGAAAATCCGTTTGTTCAGAGCATGCTTTCAAATCCTGACCTGATGAGACAGTTAATTATGGCTAACCCTCAAATGCAGCAACTGGTACAGAGAAATCCAGAAATCGGTCACATGCTGAATAATCCGGATATAATGAGACAGGTATGTAGAAAGAGCTCTAAGGTCATGACCTTTGATTATATTATAACTGGGAATAAAAGAGCAAGAATTGGACATGCTTACATGAGTGCTGAAATATTGTTGAGGAATTTAGGCTTGTTAGACAATCTGTAAAAGGTTACTATAGGAAATAGATGGGGTTTTTTTCTAGTTGCTGGTGTCTGAAATTAGCTGATAATTAAAAAAAAAACAGCATAGTTTTGAAAGATGCTGAAGACTATATAATCATATATTCTGAGTTGAGTCGAATGCCACTTGAAAACTTCTGTTGTCTAGTCGACAGTGAGTTTACTTTAAAGTAATAATTCTCCAAAGTACTGCTTATTTCCAGTTTATGTAACTATGGGTACTTCTGATTGCTTCTGAAGTTATGTAATATGTGCCCAATGTGACAGAGGGCATCAAGAAACAAGTGGAGGCTTTGGAAAATGTAGGTATTTGTTTTTCAAGATGCATGCTGTACTGAGGTTAGAAATGGGAGAAACATATTCTGTTGAGATGAGACAAGAAAGAACAGGATGGTACATTCAAGAGTTTTTTCTTCTGTTTAGTCAATGCATTGTGATTCAGCTAGCACATTGACAGTTGTGGCAGAATGTTGTCTAAATACAAAATTCTATTGACTCCCCTCTCACTCAAGATGATGTCTTGATTTGGCTTTAATCTTAATTTCAAATGGAGTTAGACATTAGTGACTGAGGTACTGCTAAATGGCGATGTTTTCACTTTAGAATGGATTTTTTTATGAATACAAATTACATGTTCTATTTCATTAGACACTAGAACTTGCTAGAAACCCTGCAATGATGCAGGAAATGATGCGAAACCAAGACCGAGCCTTGAGCAACCTTGAAAGCATACCAGGTGGCTACAATGCCTTGCGACGTATGTACACAGATATTCAGGAGCCAATGTTGAATGCAGCTCAGGAACAGGTGAGAAATGATTGTAGGGGCCACTGAAACTAAGTGGGTTTTAGTTGGTTGTTGGGGCTTTGTTTGTTTTTTGTGTGGCTTTGTGGGTTGTTTTTTGGATTATTTTCAAATATGAAAGAAGATAAATAATGTCACTTTTCAAACGTGTACTTGACAAAACTTAATTTCTTGAAGCTTGAAGTCAATGTGTAGTTTGTTCCTATGCTCTTTTAAACTTGAAGGGATAAAGATTGTTATGTGAGTTTGATAAGCTATTTTAATGTTAATAAATTTTTCTCATATATGTTCTAAATTTATATTTAATTCTTGGACTTACAAAGTTACTGAGGTTCAGGAAAAATGAAGAGTGTATAACTTGGAACCTAAGGTGGGAAGAAAAAAGGCTTTGAAATTTTTCTAAGTTGAAAACCACTATGCAAGATATAATCTTACTGTGATCAAAGTACTAGTGTAGTAGCATATGCTGCATTTAAATGAAGTGTAATTAACTTTTTTTTTCTTGTTGGCGATAATATCTCTTTCAATGTTGGTATCTTTTCAGAATATTTACAGTGGCTTATTTTAGGATGGTGATTATAATTGATTACCATAACTTACCATTTCTAGCAGACTTAAATATAGTTGACTAATAGATAATGTGTTTCTTTCTCCTGTAGTTTGGAGGTAACCCATTTGCTTCCTTAGTAAGCAATGAATCATCAGGAGGGGACAGTCAGCCATCTCGTACAGAAAATAGAGATCCTTTACCAAATCCCTGGGCTCCTCAGTCCAGCTCTCAGATTTCCACAAGTACCAGCACCAGTGGTGAGAACAGTGGCAATAGTAATGTCAGAAATAACACCTCTGCTAGTATGGGACAGAGCTCAACTATACCAAATTTGGGATCTGGACTAGGAGGTGTGTCTGTTATTGTACTTGTATATATTGGCAAATATTCAGGAGTTAGGTGAAAATATTTTGTTATTAGAGATGTTTTGATTAAAAGTTTGTGTTACTGTTAATTTCCATAGAATATTTAACTAGTGTCAAAGTCCTCTGTGGGAAAACAATCATGAAAAGTAAACCAAGAGTGCTAACGATACTTGTGTACTGCCTTAAAATAAAAGTAGGGAATCTGTACATGAATGATAATATTTTTTTCTGTTTGGAGACAAACAGGAAAACAGTTAATATTGTAGATACTTAGCCTGATTGCTTGTTGGATATGACCTCTGGCTTATTTTGTTTCTAGGGCAGATGCATCTGTGTAAGCAGAACCACATTGAGATGTATTTAAGGGGCTAAAGCTCATTAAAAACAACAATCAAAACAAAACCACACAGTTGTATCCCAGTTCTAGGCAGTCTAATTAATTTGATTATAGTCAAGGTTTTTACTAAAGTGACCTTTTACTTTTTTTTTTTTTTAAGTTGGTATGTTCAACACACCAGGAATGCAGAGCTTGTTCCAGCAGATAACAGAAAATCCACAACTTATGCAAAATATGTTGTCTGCACCCTATATGAGAAGCATGATGCAGTCATTGAGCCAGAATCCTGATCTTGCAATACAGGTAAATGCTTTTTATGTAGGAATGAGTTGTATACACTGAAGTGAAAAAAGGAGTTGAATTTATCATACAGTTATATTTTCAATACAGAATAACCGTGCTAACTTCTCAACAATAATCTGTTTGTTGCAAATGGTCCAGTTTTTAAATTATGTTAATGTCTGACTTATTGAAATTATTACCTAGTTACCTTTAGCAATCTGTTGCAGTAAGTTTCTTCAATTTGTCGTTGGACATCATGTCAGGCATTTTCTTGTAACAAATTGTGTTTGTGTATGTTTCATACAGCCCTATAATTTTGTGGCCTAGCATAAGAACCAGTTAAACAAAACAAATGCTTTAATTATAAATTAAGGTAGATCTACTAGTAAATAAATATCTACCTTAGCTTGGGAGGACAGAAGTAGAGGGGAAGGATTTGGTGCCATATCTAACTGTTATTCTGGTTTTCCTTTCTCACCTGTGATCCTTGCTTGCAATGAAAGTGCTTATACTGCTGTTTTATAAATGGTATTGTAGAAGTGCTTTCCAATTTTACTTACAGCAATAATATCCAAAATCAAATCTTGACCTGAGATAATATTATTTTGTATACTAAACAGTTAAATGGAAACATCCCAGGCTTTTTGCAAACAATATTTACAGGGAAGCCATCACATCAGTAGTGGAGGTTGACTAGAAAAGGCATATGTTGCATAACTGAGGTTGCTTTGGTGAGTATCTGGCAAGGATTCACTGCAGAAGTTTAACGCCACCCCAAAAAAACCCCACAACAAAAACTACACCCAAAAATAAATAAAGAAAAGATACAAAAAACCCAAACAAAGAAAAAACCAAACAACAAAAAAACAACAGCCACACCACCAATTATTTCAGTCAGTTCTCAGGGTGGTGGTTCATTGTTTCAGAACAAGTTTTGGCCAAAGGAGATAATTACTCTGAGGTTATCATAGGCTATTATCTTGTTATCTTGTTATCTGATTTGTATATGGTGAATAGTTGTCTTAAAATCCACTCTAGTATTTACTTTTTGATCTACTGCTTGATCCATGATGTTAAATATTTTTGGCCCATAGATGATGTTGAATAATCCTTTATTTGCTGGAAATTCTCAACTTCAGGAGCAAATGAGACGACAGCTTCCTACTTTCCTTCAACAAGTAAGATGAGATACTAAGTCTTGTTAATTAATGTCTGAAATTCAGTGAGCAATTTTTGCAATGAACTTCTGCCTTTCCTTGATTTCACTTAAAACTACGTTCTGTATTCTCATTAGCTTTAGACACTGAGTTGTATTATCCCATGTAAGAATTGATATGCACACAGGTAAACCCAGATGACCAAACCACAGCTAGGATATTAAGGAAAAGTTTATTCTGAAGTTGGAAACCCTAAATACACTGCTAAATCATGCAGTGGGCGAAAGAGCAGAAGCAGCAAAAATCTCCTTGAGCAAAATTCTTTTTCCTCCTCGAATATTTCTATATATCTTCCGCGTTTAAACTTTCTGTCCCTACATCCCTTGATAATTAAATGCTTGATTTATCTCTCCATCCCTTTCAAAAGTTAAATCTGGCTTTTAGTGGAGTGGATGTTTTTGTCTGCTTTGATTTGCTCTTGTGCCTTTGCTTAGAAGTAATGACTTGTTCTTACTGCCCACCAGCCAGAGATAACCTGTTTCCCACATGATTTCTTTTGCGAAATAAAGAAAAAATATTATTCCTTTTCCCACTACTAAGATAAACTTTAACGGTACTTTTCTCATACTTCCTCCACCCTGCCCTGATTCTTTGGGGTAAAGAGATCTTACAGCATGCCTTGAAAGATGCAAGTCATAAGCTAATTCAAAAGAAGTGAAGTGAGTTCTGAAGATGTTTGCCTCTAAAGATTGCCTTGCCACCAACTTTCCCTCTTACACTATTGTGGTTGCAGCCCCACTATTTGCTTTATCTTAGCTGTCACAGTGTATACAAGGACTGTGTCCTTTTAATAGGACTAAGCAAAATTTTTAGGAATTAAAAATTGAATCCAGTGTATGAGTTCTATCATTAGGCACTCTTTACAATTCAAAGTAAATGTGTACTGCCAAGATCTCATTGCATGTAGGCAGTGTTATGAGTAAAATAAATAACATGAATTTCACGCCATTGATGATTGTCTGATGCTCCAATCTATCTAGATCCCTCTGCAAGGCCTCTTGTCCCTCACGAGAGTCACAAGCACCTCACAATTTAGTATCACCAGCACACTTTCTAATGGTGTGCTCAATTCTTGCATCCAGATTGCTGATAAATATGTTGAACAGAACTGGCCCTAGAATTGAGCCCTGAAGAACACTGCTGGTGACTGCATCCACTGCCTTCTTTTCATCTACTAGGCGTGTGTCCTTATCATCAAAGGATGAGGGTTCTTGAATATTATGTTTGCTAGTATGTTTTGCAGAGTAGATGTTGATGACACTACAGATAGGAACATGTGCACAAATTATCAAATAGCTGTAGTCTGAATTTAGATAGAAAAAGATGTTTTATAACTTTCTGTATTAGATACCTTTTTAGGTTTCACTGTATTCAGCCCTGTTGTTTACCAGTATTATGATATAGGAGACTAATTTAGAATTATGTTGAACTAACAAACTCCTACGGCTTTGGAAGATGATAAAGTCTACTAGAAAAAATAATGAGAAATACTTTTCCTTATGTTCTCCTTATTTAAAAGGAGTCTAGAGAGCTCATTCATCATCTCCTGTGAAAGTTTTCTCAAAAAAACCCAATCTGAAGGATTTAATGTAAATATTCAAATACAGAGTTGAAAAACAGCAAGTTCTGAAAGGATATCAGATTCTATAAAACATCTCGTGATAAAGATCAACTTTGAATATCTGCATATTATTCAATTATGAGTTTCCTGTTTTTAGATGCAGAATCCTGACACGTTATCAGCTATGTCAAACCCTAGAGCAATGCAGGCTTTGCTACAGATTCAGCAGGGCTTGCAGACATTAGCAATGGAAGCACCAGGACTTATACCAGGGTAAGAATTGGTCATACAAATTTATACAAGAACTTTTCTCTTGTGTTTGTGTTTTTGTCAGCTTTTGTCTTTCTTTTTAACATATAGAGGTTTATCCAGTTTTTACAGACTGTTCCTCTTGCATTTTTTAGTTTCACTCAACTTGTTTTAGAATCTGTCACACTGTGGTGGTTTAAAAAAACATCTGGGAATTAAACTCCAAATAAACCGCTCCCCTTCCTCTAGTGAGAGAGGGACAAAGGCAGAGACTATGGGTTGAGATAACAATTTACTGAAAACAAACAACAGTGGAATAAGAAACGCAAAGTAGCAGCAACAATATTAATAACACAAGTATACAAAAGAGAAGGTTTTTTACACACAAAAGGTGTTCACCACCTTGACTCAGTTCCACATGGCCGCTGAGACAAAGACGAGATGGCGGATGTTCCCACAACTAGCATTTCCCATTCCCAAACCTGAGACAACAAGAAACAATGCTGGACAAACCCCAAAAAAGCTGGATTGTCTGCATTGCGCCACCCACTTCCAAGACCACTCCAATCCACTTGTTTCATCCCACACGGCACTGCTGCTTCAGACCACTCTGCTCCGCTGTGCTCAGGCTCAGCTCCTCTCATCTTGGTTCGCCACTGCTTCGTTCCCCACGGCTGCTTCCAGCATTGGCGCACGCATGTGCTCCGCTGGGTTTAGCTGTGTTTGATGCTTGGAGTTGCTTTCTTCCCAAGGGAATGGGAAGGGACGGATGGCAGCAGCAGGATAGGGTCCACAAGGCTGGTCCCAGCAACTTCCCCGAAGCAAAGATTGAATAAAATGGTGCTGCTTCCAGTGTACATTCATTTTTTCTTCCCTCCAAAGCCATGCCCTCCAGTAATGAAGTGGGTGATGTCAAATAGCAACCTAGCCATGCCCACAGAGTTCTAGGCTCCCCCCTGTTCTCGGCACCTGCAAGCAAAACTAGGACATACACTTTTGTTTGCAAGACACTTTTAAGCAATGGTCTATGGTCTTGTTTTAGTACTTAAGTTGTCATCCATTTTTTATTTGACAGAATTTTTACTTAGTAATTACATCTTATGGGAAGAGATTACAACTAAGCCATTTTTTTACTTTAGTGATGTATTTCTCTGTCATTTGTGCAGATTCAATCCTGGTTTAGGTGGATTGGGAAGCACTGGAGCTCCTACAGGGTCCACTGTACCTAGTTCAATTCCCAGTGAAAATACAAGCCCAACATCAGGGGCCACTGATCCTGGTCACCAGCAGTTTGTCCAACAAATGTTGCAGGCACTTGCTGGTGCAAATGCTCAGGTAAAGTAGATCACTGTATTCTGGCGTGATCTATGTCTGTGTGGTTGGTGGAGTTTTTGTTTGTTTGAGGTTTTTTAAATATCCAGTGAGAAAGACACACAGACACTCCCCACACACAGCCCTCCCCGCCATCCACACACACACCCCTTTCCCCACAGTAAACAAACAGAATGCTTCTGGTCAAAGGAGAGCAGAGGAAGATTAAAAGTGATGTTCTAGCTGTGCAAATAAATGCTGGGAAAACATCACATGTGAGTAAAAGTGTCCTCTGAATGGTTGATTGATAGATACACCTATCTTCATACCCTTGAGTTTCTGAAATGCCTGGAAAGAAGGGAGATTAAGGTGTTAAAGGGAGGGCAGGTTCCCTGGCAACTGAAATGTGGGCTCAGACAAGAAAAGAACATACTGAACATCATTATCTCTGTACTTTGTGTTGCTGGTTGTAGCTCAGGTTATTTGGGGCCTGAATTTGTAGCATGCTTCCCTGACATCCTGCAGGTTCAGATTGCACAATGTACATTGTGTTAACATACCAAGTGGGATTTAGGCTTTCTGGAGAGGTCCATAAATCAAGCAAAGGTGGCAGCTTTGTGAAACAGAACCATTACATTGTGATACATATCCAGTGTAACGGCAGACTGCTGATAAAAGGGACAGTCCTGTTCTTACCTCCTCTGTTGCCACAGAATAAGGCAGTTCAGCTTGCTGATCTCACAGAAAAATGTTACTTTTTGTAACTATGAGAAAGTGGTGGTAAGAATAGCTATAGAAAGCCATGTTCTCATAGATATTTATCATTCTAGATCCTATGCTACCAATTCAGCATTCTATTTGGTTTAGATTTCAGCCAGTATGTTTGCATTTTATTAGTTCGGAAGTATATGCAGTTTTTAAATACTGATAGGAATTTCTCAATGGATGAAACTTAAGGTAGAACAAAAGGAAAATAGCAGTAGGTGCAAAAATCTTGTGTTGATATGTAAACTGTCTCACACATTTCAAAAAGTGGCTTCTCAGTATTACTCTGACCTTATATACCTAAAGTATATATACCTAAAGTATATTTTCATATAATTGTTCTATTTCACAAATGTCTCTGAGATGAAGAGGATACAACTGAGATTATTCATAATTTTGCCATTAGTTTATGAGCAATTTATTTGAGCAAGATCAACTCATAAAGCACAGCTGTCACTTTGCCTTAGGCTGAACTTTTTAACTAGAATTTTGGCAAAGTTAGTCAACAAATACTTGGAGCATTTAAGAGGTAACTTTTATGTCAAGGAAGAAAAAAAGCCTACCATATTCACTGTTGCCTACAGTGACATTCTCAAAAATTTTCTATTCCACACTACTATATTAGATTCATTCATAAAAAAAAAAAAAAAAAGTCTGCACATGCATTAACAACCTATTCTTGGGACACATTTATCAAATGTAAGTGTTCCTTTTTAATCAAACAAGCAGCTGTGCTTGTAGTTCAGAAATGTCACATAAGTGAAGATACTCTTAAAATTTGAGGCTAATCTGACTTGTTTGATCAGCAATTCAGTTGTGAATGAAATTTGGGGAATTTGGAAAAGATGCATTCAAAATTAATAAAGACAAGAAGTGGTTCTGAACCAACTATGTTTAAATCCTGTACTTTGCCAAATATGTATTATGCTTTTATAGCTTGAGATTTTTTTTCTTAGCAGTTACAAAATCCAGAAGTTAGATTTCAGCAACAACTGGAGCAGCTGAGTGCAATGGGCTTTTTGAACCATGAAGCAAACTTACAAGCTCTAATAGCAACAGGAGGAGATATCAGTGCGGCTATTGAAAGACTGCTTGGTGCTCAGCTTTCATAGCACTGTTTCTTTAGCTTGAAAAAATGTAATTTATTTTTGATAACAGCTCTTAAATCTTTAAAACAGTTGTTTTATTTCATTCTGACTCTTGTGTTTGCCTTGTTATAACTAAGTCATGCATTTTAAGGTCAAGTGTAGTAGTTTTCTTCAAATAGGGAATTGATGCGTTTTCACTCAGTTGTTGTGTGCATCACTTTTGTTCTTCATTATTTCTTAATTTTTTTTAACAATATCAGCTTTCACAGTTGATTAAGCAGGTTTTGTTAAACTTGCAACTGTCCAATTTATTTACTACTAAACCATTAGCCTTCAGTAGTAATTTATGTAGGATACAAATTCAAAAGGAAACAATTGAAAGCTATAATATGTGGGTACCAGTGCTGCTTATGGTGATTTAGGCATGTATTTTTTCTGCTAGAAAATTGCTGTAAGATTTATACCACTTTGAGTAATCTACCATTTTTGCTTTTATTTGTATGAAGTATAAACACGACATATACAATGGAGACATCTCATTTATATAAATTTACACATTGCAATAGAATGAAATTTTAAGTAACCAAAAAAGGCCATGGAAAAGAAAAAGTAGTAAGACATGGGGTTTAGTGTAGAATCTTCCAGCATATTACGTAAACATCTCAGAAAAAATGCTTAGGCAAGTTAATTTAAAATATATTTGAATTGCTGTTCTAGTTATATCTTTATCTAGCCATAAAGAAACTTGCACTGTAACATTGTCTCACTGCAACATTGTTACAGATTATTTGTAAATTACCTTTGTGCAAATTAAAGGAGCACTGCCTTGTGCTCTGAAAATGTTTCTAAGGCATTTTGGCTTGTTCCATTGAGATTCTAACAAGCATTATGATTTTTATTTGGAAGCATTACTTTTAGCCACTGTCATGCAATATTCTAATTATTTTAACCACCATGTAAAAAAATACTGTATATCTCTTGAGTTTTTATTGGTAGTTACCTCTCATGCACAGGTAATAAATTAATTTAAAAGTATTTAAGCATCTTGTTTCAGTGTGTTTGCAATTGGTGATTATCCAGCATTCAAGATGACCCAAGATGATTCAAGTGTCAGCTCTGGGACTATTTACAGACTTTGGGCTAAGATTAACAAACAATATTTAGAGTATAAAGTGGAGGACAGAGAGGAAGGCTCATATGATACTGAAGACTGTTTAGATAAAGTGAAAGTAGTGAAATAAAGCATTCTTCTGTGTGTTACAGAATAGCACTTGCTTTTTATTCGTCTTTGGTGTCAGTGTAATTGTGAACATTCTGATTTAATTCTTGCATTTCATTAGACACTTCATCTGAACAATCTTTTGGTACATATATAAAGCCAGTTTGTTCTAAAAAAAACATTGTTTGCAAATGGTTTAAACTTACTGGCCTTGACTCAAAATTGTTAATAAGTTAAATTAAACAAATTTATAATGGGATATAAAGGAGGGCGTTGAGCACACTTTCTTTTACATACAATGAAATTAATAAAACTCTTGGCAAAGCCAAGCATGCAGATTTTACAGGGAGTAACTGTGTTGTATTCTTCTCTCAGAAGTTTTTACTGTCCAGTAATCTTGGCTCTTACTTCAGCAGTAAGTAAATAGATCAAATACGGCTGATGCACAATGCTGCATAAAGTTCAAGAAAATATATTGGTTGGCAGACCTCTCTGCCTCTAGATCAAAATCTCATAGATAAGCAACATAGAATATTAAAGAAATGAAACAATTAAAATAGAATCTCATGGTGATTTGAGTTTTATATGATCAAAGCTTTTAAAAATACTTAAAGTTTGGGTAGGAAATTATTACTTTTGTTTCCTAGTCAATGATAGTAAACCTGCAAGGCACTAGACTGCCTTCTGTTTGGGTAAGTATCTTTCACTGCACTGAGTATGAGGCTCTTAAGGAAGTGATAGCAAGTAGTTTCTGTAGAATAATCACAACTTTTTAACAATTACTCTTAGGATCTTCAAAGTAACTATTTAACTTGACCTTATAATATGCCCTATAGGAAGTTTGCTTTAAAAAAGTGAGATATCTAGTCATTCAGAAGGTATATCCTTCTAAGAATACAATCCATAACTTGCAAAAAGGCCACTGTCAAATGGAAAGGGAAAAACTGAAGTAGGGAGGGGAGACACTTTTGCCAAGCTTTGCTAAGGTACTGAATCTTAACTCCATTGAACATTCTTTTGAGACAAGATCCAGTTCACCTATGTAAGTAAAACAGAGATGCAATATTTTAAGTTAAATTCTATTAGAATTAAGGAAAAAGTAGAATTTTACCTAAACTGTACAATGAACCATTGAGCTAAGTTTACTAATTGAGATGCAATTAATAATAATTTAACTATGTAACTACTGTCAACTAGTAATAACAATTAGTAACTGAGTAGTGGTAAAACACTGAGACATATTCAGTGTAGGAGGACTTTTGGTTTTGTAGAAGACCTTAATTGTTAAAAGTGGCAGTAGATGAAACAAGGTTTGTAATAGGGGTAAAAATGTATTGTGTTCAATAATAAAAGATACATCACACTTGGTTTAATGGCATAATAGAATGTTTGTACACTCTCTCACCACTGTCTCTCTAGTCTTTTAGGCACTCGCTTTTGAAGATGTCCAATTTCTTTTTGGTTATAAGGGTTTGAAATGTAATAGTACTGCTTGGTAAATATGTCATGCAGCTGCTTTCCTATCACTGTAGTTTCCTGAATTATTTAGTTATATTGTGTCTAAAAAAAAGTGAGCATAAATTTGCATTTAATAGTGGGTATATTAGAAAAGCTCTTTGCTTGTAAAATTGTATATTGGGAAAATAAGAAGACTTCATTAAAAGCAAAGGTACCACAAGAGATTGCCTTTGCGTTAATTTTCATAGTGACTAAATTTGCATGGCAAATTTAAAAATAATAATCTATGCTAACTGTATATGGCGATGATTCTGTTCGGGTCTGACTTGTAGAATCTAACATAAACTATCTACAGAGTTATCATGAAGTTAAGCTAAAGAGGCATCTCTTGTTTAACAAGGATTTAAAAAACCCTTTTGGCAATTCAAAAGAGGATTTTAACCTTAAATTTTGTGAATTGTGTAACTGTCTATATTTAGAAGTTTCTGATCACAAAAAAGTTGAAATATATATTTGAAATTGCTTGATCTTAGGTTTTAAAGTAGCTATATGAAAACCTATCCATAAGCATATATTGGACTGGGTATAGGCTGAGATGGAAGTGTGAAGTAAGATAACACACAGGTACCCCCAAAATGCCAAGCAGTGGAAGGATTGCAGGAAAATATTTCCGAAGTTGAGAACACTAGACTTAAAAGCAAATTCCTAATGGCGCTGCAAACACACCGGACCTGAGAAAAGATGCTACAGGTGCTCTATATCTACTACATGGAGAACAGAAATAAAGTATTGTTACACTCAAGTATTTACAGGATAATTCTACAAGGATATACCCAGATCTAATAGCTCGGGATGGGGTGACTGCCCACTCAGACTAGTGAGGCACAAACCAGTCTTGCTCAGCAGGATGTCAATTGGAGTGCAAGCCCAAAACCCAAACCACAGGTCCAGTGCTTCCCCTCTTGGTGAAGGCCTTGGGGGTTGTGGAAAACACCTGAAACACATTAACTCAAGAAGCTGACCATTAGCAGAGAATGCAGCAGAAGTACTCCCAACACTATACCCATGGCTTGTGAATGTATATCCCCACCCCCTTGATAGGGGCAGAGGGGTCAGTGCAGCTACCTGTCAGGAAGCAAACCTACTGACCTCCCCTTATAATATCCTTCAAGGTCTACATAATCTCCTGTGCTGGTTTAAAAGTAAACTGGTGGAGGAAATAAACCCAGTTCAAGAGAGATTACAAGTGAGAGTTACAATTTACTAAAAAGATTACAATAAATGTAATGATACAGAGAAAACTGGCTTTCACCCCCAAAAACAGATGTATAACCAAGCACCCTGGGACAAGACCAGAACAGTGTTCGTTAGCCCCAGTGCTGAGCACCACATGACCGCCCTGTGTGCAAAGTAAAAGGAAAGGAAAGCTGTTGGTCCGGATGATGGCCACAGTTCTGTGGAAGTAATGATCGCAGTCTTGTCAAGAGTGGCAGTCTCAGTCCTGTTGTAGTTCTGGTCCTCCTCTGGATCTGACGAGTGGTGCCAGAAGTCCCAAAACCCAAAGATCATAAATGCTTAGGTTCAGGTGGGAATGCCCAGTACCTCCCTCAGGGCAGGGAGTTACACAATGGGTGATTAAACTCTGTGAGTCATGGGATATTTTGGAATCTTTGAAAGGTCTAGGTCCTGTCAGCTGCCTATTATGCCAGTCCATTGTGCCCAATTAGCAGAGATGCCCCCTCAAGCTAATGCTTCTCTGGAGAGGAGTTATCACAGCTGAGTCATTGGTGTGAAGACAAAGAAACACTCCCTTGCCTTGCAGGATTTCTTTAACACCCAGCTTGTAACCTGAGGTGTCAGGTGTGCCCTGGGCAGCTGCTGCAAATGATCCACTTATTAACAGTCCATCAGAAATAACATAGGGGGTATAGAATACACAGTTTTGGTTATACCCACATAGTGATAAACTGATCCCGGCCCCTGTAACTAGGACATCTCCTCAAATACAATTAAGTATAATTGGGCACACTTAATCAAGGCATTCTTGAAGTGTTCAAAGCTTTTTGTTGTTTGGCCCACTGCCAAACAGCTCTCATCCTGGTCAATCCTTGTTAGTAATTCAGTAATGCTGTCAGGCGTGGAACAAAGAGGATAATTTCCTGCTCCATAGAGGATAATTTCCTGCTCCAGCTGGTAAATGAACCTACCAGGGGTGGGGTCCCACTAGACCTGTTGTTTACAAACAGAGAGGGGCTGGTGGGAGATGTAGTGGTTGGAGGCCTCCTGGGGCACAGTGACCATGAAAAAATAGAGTTTGCAATACTCAGGGATACAAGGAAGGCCACCA